AACCGCATCATCTATCAACCCCGCAGTGGTGGCAGCCTCACCCTTGAAAAGGTAACCAGCTCTTTTTGCCTTTCTAACACAAAATAGTGATATCCTGACATTCATAAGTGAATCCAGAGTAGCCGTCCACCCCTGGAACAACCCTTTGTCTAAGTTGTGACATGCAACAAGGCCCCTTTTGGACATACACGCCTTCATTCGCTTCCATATTGCTTATAATTTCAGCCACTTGGGTGCCTTAGTTGTATGGACTGTATAGTCGTGATGTTCAGTCCACATCTTTCGATCTCCATGTGGGGACCACCCTGAGATATCATCTGATATTACAAGCGGTATTCTAGGGTTTTCTGGGTCAGTGACGTCGCATACTCTGTTAAAAAGAGCATTGATTTCAAGGTCAGATTTCCTGGCAGTAACGCCCTTATAGTAAGATGACAGTGGAATACCTTGGCGGTCGTACATTTTAGTGAGCGCCTCGTTATGTCATCCGCCGACCAAGTTTCTCTTACCTTCTCTTTTGGCTTAGTGTTTTCGCTCTTGGCAGTCATCACTGCCATACGGTCCCAACTATCTGAGTTATTCTCAAGAGCCTGCAAAACCTCTGATGTTGTCCATTTAAGGGAGAGGAGAGGAGCATATTTAAGAGCATACAAAAGTTCGTTATGTTGCACTCTTTCTATAGCCCTGGATGAAACAATGTTCTCATAGTCACTTATGTTAGATGTGACATGGGTCACATCCGCCACTTCAGAAAACCACGTGTGAATACATTCATTATATTCAAAGTGACCCTTGAGCCATATCTTTCCCATCTCCTCATCAGGTGGAAGCAGATGTATTCGAGATGTTTTTGTTTAGTGATTTCTTCAATTGGGGAGGGGTCAGTTTCCATCTTATGTCCCTCCCCATCCTCGGATTCGGTTCCCTGTGAAGAGGTCCCTTGATCCGTATCTCATCTGGGTATCTCATCCCCTTCGACCTCAGAGTCCAGGTTGGAAGATACAGTATCTGTCACGGGTTCTGCATGGCGATGAGCTTGAGGATCATCCAGCATCCATTCTCTTGTTATTTCTTTTGAGGGGGTCGAATGTGTTCCACCTTGTCGTTCTCGAGAAGAGGGTTCTGTAATGTTGTCCTGTATGTGTTTGTGGCCCTCTGTGTCCCATAATATTAGTGTGATGGACCAGAATGAAACAAATCAAATTTAGTTAATGTAATTTAAATAATACACATTCTTACAAAATTTTATAAAAATATTGGAGTGCCTTGATGAAAATATGTTCATAGTACAGCTTAGAACGGCCTCACGCGTAAAACAGTAGTTTCAGACAGGAATTGCACAAAGATGGAACTAGAGTTAAACCTTTCAAAGAAAATATGACGTATGGTTGGGTGCTTGACCTTGAATACAGACATTTTCAGGTAGGCACTGTTCTGACAATTGACACGCTTATCTTCTATATTATCGATATAATATTCTATATTGTATCGATTATCTCACAGTAGTTTTAAATAAATCAAGAGTATATTTTAACCCATTCAGTAGAAAATTGATAAAACATGTTTATTTTGCTCTGCCCCTAGCAACATAAGAGCTTATAGAACGCAGCTGTACACTAAAAGTCGGTTTTCTTCAGTAATAATCTATATATAAGTGACAGTCCTCTTATGCTTTGGTGTAGCACCATTCCTGGGATGAGAGGCTGTTGTTGCTCTCAGTGACGGAGGGGCAAGAGACAAGTTTGAACATGAAGGGTGGGGGGGGGGAATTGGACCGAAAGAAGAACTACAAACGGGACAAAGTAAGGGATGAGAGTGGAGGGATGTGTCAAACATAAGAGGCTACAAGCTAGTAGCAGCAAAAAGTGGGGTGTTCAAGTTAGCTAAATGGAACAGCTATCAATTTCACAGTGTTCAACAAATTAGTCCTCTGGGGTTTATTTCGCTTGTTCGAGATCATGACCTGATCTGCTGTACACACTTATGTCGAATGGAATAAAATGAGTAAGAGAATGTTTATAATCAATTATGTGCCCATAAACATCGGCGTAGTATTAAACCGAACAGTGACTTGTGTTGTGATATCTGTAACCAGTCTCAGTCGGCCTCATCCTGACAAGGATGTTGAGGATGGTCATCATTAAATTGAACCGAAAGAAAATAACAAGGACATTAGTCTGTTGTATAATTTACTTTACTGAACATAATATTTTATTACTGTTGTGTGCTAGGTTATGTTATGTCAGTGACGCACTGCATGACAAGTTCCGTCCTGTTTGATTGGTCAGACTCTGCAGACCACTGACAAACCCAGTGAAAGTTCTGTTTATATCCACAGTCTGTAGTGATAGAGCACTCAGTAGTTACCAGTTAAGTAAAGCACTCTTGCTGCATAAGTCAGTGTTCATTAAGATTTAAGTGAATCTAGGATTAAGTATGAATTGAAGTTCTGACTTTTCCTTTCATAGACAGTGGCAGATGATATATTGTTCAGAATTACCGGGTTTTCGGAAGTTGTCTGTCGTCCGGTATTCTAGAGACTAGACAACACAACGTTTCGGAAGCTGGATCTGTTAACAGTCCTCAGTAGAGGGGGAGGTGACACACTGTTGGGTCTCTTAAGGCATGTCCACATTACTCGTGCTCATGTGACTCGCTATGCTTGCGAGTAATGTGGACAATATGACAAGTCACGAGACATGCCAATAAATTAAAATATGACTACAGCCTATACACACTACGAGTAAATATACGGATCCTCACACTCCAAAGCCTGGCGAGCAACTGAAGTAGTCTGGGCGAAGATTTATGAGCACGAATAAAAGCCAGACGAGTCTCCTGACAACACGAGTAATGTGGACGCGCCTTTAGAAGGAGCTAACCCGAATCAGCATTTTCTAGAATATCGGACGATGGAATAAGTCCGAAAACCCAATAATTCTTAGCATTATACACCATCGTCTGAACCTTTTAGAAAGTATATTGAATTTTACTTGGTTTCTAAGAGTAATACAGTATACGTTAATTTGGTTGTTGCCCTTTGAATATATGTGTAGGAGTAGCATGCCATTATATGTAATTTTATACCAAGTTCAAACTGTGTTGATCTAATTAGCAATTAATAATGCAATATATATTGTTAAAGTATGACGTTATTCACAAGCCAGTAAATAACAGGATTAGTTTTTTAAACTGCAATCAGGACAAGAGGTGCATTAATGTGAGAACACATGACATCAAGGACTTACTCCGACGTGTTATTCAGATTGCAGAATATTGGAAAATGTGTCCCTGGTTTTTAACAGTAATTTGTTAATTTATTGAGTTCCTCCCCTTGTCCTAAACATTAATTTTTGTTCAAGCCTAAAGGTGCAGGTTCGTCCACTAGTGAAGTCGAGGCTTGGGACTGTAGAATCTGACGCAGTGGGCCAAGGCAGTTTTGTTGTAGCAGCGTGCAGGCAACCTTTCTGGCTGTAGCTGCATGCATGCAGAGCCAGCTCGTCTTTGTGGCCGTATGGTGCAACGTCTTTTGGTGTTCTGCGTGTTCTCATAGCACTCTCATTGTTCATGTACTCATATTTTTTGTTAATATGGATTGCTAAATAAATTATTTTTAAACTTTACAGATTGCATCCGGTTGTATATTCAATAGTTACATGAATCAGGCCGTCAACACAACAGAACGAAGGTATCTTTTCAAGGTGGAGACAGTAGATATGGTTGTCTCTTAGTCGTTTATTGTAAGCAGGGTGTATGCTACAGTTTTCCACCTTTACTTAGGTCATCATCTGGCAAATTCCATAAAATACAAACAGATTTACTTGACTTTATTAGCCCAAATATGGATCCATATTATGCAGTTTTTTGTAGTTGTGATACTTAGCGAATCTATTTGGTCTCCACCTTGAAGCTATCTTTCCTTTTGTTGTGTTGACGGCCCAATTCACGTAAAATTATTCCTACCTTTCATTTTTTTCCCTGTGAAGCTGATACATTGTTGTGAGCTGCTTATGTTCACCCCCTTTACACCTCGGAATACGCACTTCATTGTAAGGAAATCCACACAGAATTTTCAGATTGATTGTAGGTTTTGTGTACAGAGCTTATACAAGCTAATGAGTTACATGAATTTTTCAATATATACAGGCTATGCAATTGTCCCATAGGATGTGTTAACATCTGTATAGAACGACAAAATTCGCGTGAAGAACTTTTGGAGTTATTACCCAATTAGAAGCTTTGTTACAAATAATGGAAGGAAGGAATGAAAGTATTACTTGTAAAACGTAATTTGTATAACAATGCTTCGCTTCGTATGCTACTTACTTAAGTAATGTGAGACTATACTTGTGTAACCAGGAGTTAAGCAGCAGTGGATCCCTGCGACCAGTAACCAGATTCTGAACCCGCTGCAGTAATGTGAGACTATACTTGTGTAACCAGGAGTTACAGCAGCAGTGGATACCAGTGACCAGATTCTGAACCTGCTGTAGTATACTCCTCCGAATTGACCCCAGAACCATAGTGTGGCTGGAAGGATTAGGTCAATTGAAAAATGCAGTGACCTCATTGGGATGGGACCCGCGAAATTCCGTCTTGTAGAATAGTGCCTATGGCATGCCCCCTGAAGGTTTAAATTGGGAATACATTGCACATGTCCATCCTTGGTTCATGACTTCTGTGGTGCAAACGTTTGCGTGCCGACATGGAACAGAGAACTGTGTGGGTGATGGTATAATTACCGGTAGAGGGACCCTTGTAAACTGAGCAGTCATAGCAAGGGAGAGAATTGTAAAAGAAAGAGACCTCGTAAAAATATCTTGCATGCAGAAAGGTGGAAACCCTACCCCAGACTTCCCCCGTGCACCATTGATAATTCTACCAGTTGATGTACTGTCGCTTAGACCCCCAGAGGAATAGGTGGGAGAAAATTCCAGTGTGGGTGCAACAGCCTGCTGGTGCCTAACTGGAAAGTTGACTGTGATAACTACATTTCTGAGCTTGTTTTACCATTAGTTGTATTTCTTAACATAGGAGTATGTACAGCTTTCCTTTAGTAACAAGGGGTTCAGTGTGTTACATCTTAAAGTGACATTAATCCAATTGCATGAAGTTGTTTGTATCACACAAATCATTGCCTTGTAACCCCTTATATTGCCCATACTTTAATGTAATCTACTTGTAAGGCTACATCGTCACCACTCCAGGTCGGAAGCCACTGGTTGCGTCCATTCCAAAAGTCTGTTGAAGCCTGAAACCAAGAAAAGCACCACATTGGTGATGAAGTCGTTTGACACATTTCCCTTAATTTCCCCTCATAGTTACAAATTGAGAGCTACGCTGATATCTGAGATTCAGATTTACTCCAGGACGGACCAGTGGAGGGCTCTTGTTAACACGGTAATGAACCTTTGGGTTCCACAAAATGCTGGGACGTTCTTGAGTAGCTGCATAACTGTGCGGTTTCTGAAGAAGGGCTTTCACCAGTCTTTCCAATTAGTTTGTGATATTAACCTCTATTATCTGGGTTACGTTGGTATGTTGTCATATGCACACAGTTCAGCTGACCAGGATGTGTCTTTAATATTAATAGCATTACTTCAAGATTAAATCTAGGGGTATATAATGTCCCCTGTCTCTGGATACAAATTTTAAGATTGGAGAGTACTACTGTCTTCTAGGAGCTGGGGTAGCGTAGTCAGTATAGAGACTGGCTACGGGCTGGACGACTGAGGGGTCCGAGTTCAAGTCTCGGTAGGCCCTAGAATTTTCTCCGTGTCATCCAGACATGCTCTGGGGTCCATTCAACCTCCTATTGAATGGGTACCGAGGGTAAAGCGGCGGGGGCATGAAGCTGAACACTCACCTCCAGCAAATGCCGAAGCCAAGAAAGTGTGGTTCTATACACCCACTCCTCCATACTCCTTCATGGCTTAATGCTTAAGTAGAAAAGCAGAGGTACAACTTTACCTTTTACTGCAGTCTTCTGGCTTGTGACATTAGTAGGCTTATGAAACAAACAAGCAAGCAGCAATTACTGCTTGCTACTTGCTTGGTTTCCTTTTCGACTCTGAAGGAGGAGGCAATGTGTTGATAAGATTCTATCAGATGTCTTACTCTTCGGCGTCACTGCTTTGAGAACCTCAAATGGGTCCCCCCCAAATCTATCTCTTTAGAGAAGTTTTCTTCGGATCCATCATAAATATTTGTGGCCTGGTACTTAAGCATAGGAAAAGTTTTAATTTTGGTGCACGCGGTAGCGTAGTTGGTTGAGGCACTACATATGATAGAAGCTGGAAGGTCGCAGGTTCAAGTACCAACGACGAAATTTTTAATTGACCTAATCCTTCCAGCCGCACTCTGGCCCTGGAGCCGACTCAGCTTCTAACAGAAATGAGTACCAGGAATCTTCCTGGGGAGTAAAGGGCCGCTGGCGCATAGTTCTGCTTGTGTAAGATACAGTACAGTTTGTTGTCATTTAAGTGTAATTGTATTGAAGATACATTGATATGTATTCATGTATACATACCTGGGGTGAAGTATTTAGCCAGGGCTTGCCCCCTGGGTTCTCTGCACCATCAGGGAAGAAGTTATTTACCCCTCCGACAGCAACATTAACTATGAAGTAAAACTGCAGTAGGAAACAGTGGATTAATATGACAACAGATGTAATAATCAATAATGATATAATGATAGGCGAAGAAATGATAAAGTGTAATATTCATGAAATGAAGTGAGTGGAGAGTTGGAAACAAAAATATTGACAGATGGAGGAATACAGGGATAAATCACCGAAATAATAAAGGACATTTAAAATGTTATGAATTGTATTGCATTAACACATTATATGATCACAAGTTTGTCATGAATGAACAAGCAGCCTTCTGTTTCACTGTGTGATGTCTGTGAGTGTTGATGATATTTTGATGTTATATAAAATGTAGTTAAAATTTATTATGCAGTTTGGTTTAGATTATTAAGATTGGGAAGGTTTCTTTCCATTTCAAACTTTTTTTTTTATTTACATAATATAGCAGTCAGAATTACGTTTGATTCTATAAGCTAATTTGTTGTAGTATTCTTCATGACGTGGAGAGAGCTTATCCAGAGATAAGTCCTCATTACCCCTCTCTCAGGTCGGCTGGCCAATTCCTTTTTAGTCCGCCCATTGTGAGGTTCCAGTAACGGTTGCATTAGTACGTTCTCGTGTCCTTCTGTTTTGTTGAGGTATCTTGTGCGTTTCCTTTTATGACTTCTTTCACTAACAGCACTTTCAGGTCTTCATGGAGTGTTATATTGGAAACATACCGTGGGGCATTAGTAATCATACGTAGTATCTTTGACTGACGTTTTTGGATTATGGAAATTTTGGTTTTGCTAGCACATCCCCATATTTCCACTCCATATACCCAAATTGGTTTTATTATCGTTTTGTAAAGTAAGATTTTGTTGTCTAATGAGAGCTTGTAATTTCTTCCAATTATCCAATGCATATCCTTGATTTTTAAATCAATCTGTTTGCGTTTTTTAGTAATGTGTCCCTTCCAGGTTAGATGGTTGTCTAGATGAATACCTAAGTATTTTGTGCTGGCTGATTCAGATATTTGTATGTTATTAAAGAAAACTGCAGGGCATTGTTCTCTTCTTAGACTGAAGTTTACTTGCACTGACTTGGTTTCGTTGATTTTTATTTTCCATGTATTTGTCCACTCTTGTATTTCATTGAGATGATTTTGCAAAGTGGTGGTAGCTATTGCTGGATCTTGGTTGGCTGAGAGGATCACGGTATCATCTGCAAATGTGCCCTTTGTTGTGTTGGCATTGACTGGTAGGTCTGCTGTATACAGTAAATACAGTAGTGGGCCTAAGACACTGCCTTGTGGTACACCTGATTTTATTGCAAAATTGTTAGATATGCTATCATTGATTCTCTTTCTGAACACACTGCCACTTATATAGGATTTTAGTAAGTGGAAATAAGTGATGGGCAGATATTTTTTGATTTTGTGCAGTTGTCCTGGATACCACACCTTATCAAAGGCTTGACATGCATCAAGGAAGACTGCAATATTCTTTATTTTCTATTGTTTGGTGTATTTTGTGTGTTATTCTATGTATCTGCTGTACAGTGGAGTGGTTTTCTCTAAAACCAGATTGGTGTGATGGTATCCATTCTTCTGTATTTGGGTCGGACCTTATTCTTTTTAAGAGAAGTCTTTTGAGGAGCTTAGATATGATGGGTAATAAACTTATAGAACGATAGGATGACACTATTAGGATTTTTGCCTGGTTTGAGGATAAGGATTATTTCTGCTGTTTTTAGCTGATTTGGCCAGTATTTATGTTTGAGAATAGCATTAAATATATATGTGAGAAGTACTAACTTGCCATTTTTTAACATTATTGGAATCACTTTGTCAATGCCAGGTGCTTTTCTTGAATTTAGGAGTGCTATTTTCAAAACTTATATATAAGATGTGTTGCAGCATTCTGTTACACTCTGTCTGCTTCTGTTGCTGTCTTGCGTGCAACTCACATTACATGTTTCAAGATTTAAAATTTCTAAAACTCTGAATTGTTTCAAGTTGTATGTTCTTTATTTAGCACATCTGTTGCAGCCTGTTTGTCCGTCATCAGGTTCATTAAAATTGTTGCACTTTTGTGCACTGTAGTAACACGTGTCTGTGGCCACGCCACAGCTCAAGCGATTAGTCGCTGGCTTCCCACCGCGGCGGCCCGGGTTCGATCCTGGGTCTGATCAAGTGGGATTTGTGGTGGACAAAGTGGCACTGGGGCAGGTTTTCTCCGAGTACTTCAGTTTTCCCTGCCAATCTTCATTCCACCAAATTCTCCATCATAATCACCCGGGGCAGGAACAGTATGATACAATACAGAGCCCTATGTATGTTCTGATAACATGTCCACAAACAGAACTTTATACACATGAAAATGGGAACATTGACATGTAGCCTGAGCGAAGCATTCGTTTCTAATCAGAGTATGGACTGACAAAGAGAACTGAGTGACGGACTGCAATTCATCAAGAAGGGATAACACATGTTAAGACCTTTTGTGTGTTTCATTTGAACTTCCCACACTTTATGAAAGCTCTTCAGCAACACTTATGTTGACAAATGCATAGTCAAGACATAAGTAGACGAAACACGTATGGTTAGTTAGTGTATAGAGGTTAATAAAAAAATCGGTGTATTTTTATTACTTAACTGAAGGGTTCGGAGTTTAACAAGAAAATACTTACTGGTTGGTCAAAAGGTGCCATCTTGTTTCCGTGTTGCCAGGGATTGTCAACAGCTCCTACTTGTGAATCGAAGTTACCAATCTTCCAGAATCCACCATCTGAGGGTTCTACTTTGCCAATAACTTCATCGTTAACACTGAATTGAATATAATCTGCAATGATTAAAATAATACTTCAAATTTGTCGTGTGGTTATTAATGGTAGAGTATGAAATAACTGTGGGAAATGAAACAAGAATTATGTTCATCAAAACGAGAGTTCATAAATTCATTATTTTTCGTATCATCATCATCGTCAAGCTAGAGAGGACCTACACCATTTCTAGTAACATTCCAGCCCAAGTCATCTTGTTCCTTTTTCCAGGTTCTTTTTTACTTAATCACAAATATAAGGGAACAGTCTCTCAATATTTACTTAAATGACAAGTCCGTTTCCTTCAGTGGCCCGAAATGTTCATCAGTGCATAGTCGGTGTTTAAGTCTTTCAAAATTTCATGGTTCATATATAATCTTTCCTTATATGTATTGTGGCGTATTTACGCCATGCGAGAGCTGTTGAGCCGCGGAGGTCTGTGGGTGCGGCGAATTCGCAACAGTAAGGAAAGCGGTGTTTTCTCCGTGCCGCACCGCGCTCGCTGCTATGCAACGTTACGGTAAACACTCCTTTACAACAATATAGGTTGTTTTCTGTTCGTGATTGGTGCGGAGGCTACATAACAAGGTTCCAGGGAAAATCTGTACTGAGCCTGAAAAGGCCCTGTATACATTTTATATACATTCATAACTCGTATTATTCTCCAGGTACAGAGTGTCCAATGATCGAGGAAACTTGGCAGCAGCTTGGGTCGGATACAAAATTTCTCACATTGCTACTGTAACTGCCGATAGCGGGATGAGTCATTAGAGCTGATAAACGCGCGCACTCTCGCTAGTACAGAGCGGATGGAACGTTTCTCCGCGACTACTCTACCCTGTGGTTCCTAGGCAACGCTACAAAATTTTGTGGGTCTCGGATTTGAACGAATATTTATTGGGCGATCACTTTGTACACTCACAAATACAATTGTTCGCACTTATTACGTCTGCGGACGTTTCCTCTTCAGTGTTACAACACTCTTGTACGCCTATTCTCGGTGGAGTGCCTTCTCTGTATTTGCTTGGAGCTCAACTCTCCTTAGCTCTCGTCTACTACAAACTCGTGGTCTCTTGTTGGACACGAACTGTACTCTCTTGTCGAAGTTGGACTGTTATATCCTGCACTCGGGCTGAATAGGGAACACATTGTCGAAGGGTTAATTTCGCCTGCTGCTATGCAATGAATCCCTTGTTGCCGCGGGAATACGTATCTGCCTGAAACAGTTCGTTACAAATAACGGTGGAAACCCCATTGTTAGGCTTTCTTCTCCAGGGTAAGGATTTCCTAGGTATTGTTGCCTAGGATTTGCTAGCCGTTGAGCAGTGATAGAATTCATATCGTCTGGCTTTCCTGACGGCACGTCACATTGTTCCCTTCTTAACGTTATTCGTCCCGAACAACCTAACGGTATTTCGCTTTATTTCATTTCCGAGGGTTCGTGCTTGCAACGTCTTCCTGCCTGATGTTCATATTCCGAGCGCTACATCCGCCCCCTCCTTCAAGGGTGCTCGTCCCGAGCAACTCAATGGTAAACATCCATTTACCACAGTCCTTGATCATCCTCCGTATTCGCCAGATTTGGCTCCAGCAGATTTCTGGTTGTTCCCAAAAGTAAAGTTGGCGATGAAAGGAGACCGTCACGGCACCATGCAGGACATCCAAAGGGAATGTACCGCAGTTTTAAATGCGATTCCACAAAAGGAGTTTTCTCGTCATCTTTCTCTCGTTCTGTCACTCTAGCTGGAGAGGCCGGTGCTTCTACATTACCGGCTCCTACTCTGTGAGCTATATCTCTTTTCCGTTTCCCTCCACAGTGTCCAGTCCTTGTGTTCTCGCTCCGGGCGCTACTGATACCTCCATGATCCCATCGTGCACATTTTGCAGCAGCCAGTTGCCAAAACGACTTCTTGCTGCTTAATCTGGTTGTTTCAGCTCATGCACAACTGTTACTTTATACGGGCGATATTTGATTAATTTTGTGGCTGTGAAAGCAGATCCTAGCGAAACACCGGTTTTCTGTGCTAAGCGTCTTTACGATTTTCGAGGACTGCTCTGTAGTCGTGCCTCAGTATCCCGAACCTTTTCTCTTCCGTCAGCAGAATACTCGATTGCGTCTTTATGTCACACACTGAACCTGTTGCCCGCCACTTTTTTACAAGCTTGGATTCATACGACTTTGTGGGAACTGGCGAGTCAGGATATTTACGACGAAACTTGCAGATACATTTTCTGTAACTCTTTCCCTTGCAAAAGTTTCGACAGTGAACTTCATTTCAGTATAAACATCTACCGCCTATCGGCGCCTCTAACACAGACCGACTATTAATGCGACTTACTGCAGTGACAAGATCAGAACACCTGACGGCCCGCGTTTATCAGCGCTGATGACTCATTGCGCTGTCGGCAGTTACAGCAGCACTCTGGGAAGAATGTTGTGCCCGCTCAGCCCTGTTGCCATTTTTCATCGATCATTGAACGCATTGTATAATTAGAATGATCAAGTAAAGGAGGGTTAGATGGGCAGGGAATATAGCAAGAATTGGGAGAAGAGGAATGCATATAAGATATTGGTGGGAACGCTAAGTGGAAAAGACCAGTGGGAAAACCAAGGCGTAGGTGGGTGGACAATATTAAAGCAGATATTAGAAAAATAAGATGGGATGGTAGGGAGTGAATTGATCTGGCTCAGGATAGGTTCCAGTGGAGGGCTCTTGTGAAAAAGGTAATGAATCTTCGGGTTCCATAAAATGCTGGGAAGTTCTTGAGTAACTGCACAATTGGCGGCTTCTCAAGAAGGGCTCAGCTTCATGAGTGAGAACAGTGTTCAATAAATCCAGTTACAATTTTCAGCCCTGTCTACAGTCACTCGTACACGTGACTAACATCACATAACCTTATCCATATACAGAATATTTCACAGGAGCTTACTAACAAAATACATCGAAAATATTCCCTTACAGGGAAGGAAAGGATACATTAAAATAAGAAAACTAGAAGCCTAATTTATCAACAGGTTCCATGAATAAATACAATTTATATGCAACATGATTCACTTAATGTGAGGGTTATTGGTTTGCAAGTTTGTCTTCAGTCACCCTCAAAGCAAGGTAGTATTCTCAAAATCGAAGAACAGTGTGAATGGGCTATTTATATTAGGCTGTCCTTACCTGGAGTCCATTCCAACTGGAACAGATTGAAGTCTGTATCGAAGCCTTTATCTGGAGCTGTATTCTTCTCGAAATGAGCATGCGCATACCCATTGAGTGGCCAGAAGGGGCCGAAGTGCAGTGTGGATGAAGTCAGCTCAGAGCCAATGTTCTGCTGATTGCTGACCAGCTTCCTGTTGCCTCGACCTTCAGTGAGGTCTATCTCACCAGACGACGGCCATGAGCCGTAGTAATTGAACCGGGGCAAGAGCCAGATAGCTGTAATCATGTGCGATTCGATTTAGATACTATCGCTTGTGATGTGACGCCGTGTAGTCTAGTAGAATGTTATTTATGTTTTGGAAGAATGTACTAGCTCTTTTCAAGGTCGAAGCTGAGTTCCTACTCGTTGAGACCCTGAAGATGGAAGTAAACTTCTGCCAGACTACACTGTGTCACATCGCAGAAGTTTGTACTCTTCATAATCACCGCTATGGGAACCCTCATCTTGAACGAAAATTGAGTGTGCCTTGCATTCACACGCATTTAAACAGGAAAAGCAGGACCCACGGACAATTTAAAAGTCGTGATAGTTATTGACGTTGTTTGCATTTACATTTTTGTTCCTTTGGCGTTACAACCCAAATTTGGGACTTGGCCTGCCTCCATGAAACTCCCTGTTTCACTTCGGTTTACTAGATCTTAGACGTCCGGCAGGACTCCTTGGGTGCGTGATCAGCTCGACGCAAGATCTCTTCCTGTACATACCAAACATCCATGCCCTGGGTGGGTTTCGAACCCACGATCCCGGCTTCCGAGCGAGCGAAGGCAGTACACGCCTAATGTGACCTGTTATGTTTAACAATGAAATAACTTCTTGATTGTGTAAGGAGGAAATGCTGCAATGATTGTGATGCCCCAGAACTAAAGACGAAAGGTGTGCAGTAAAAATGGAGAGGTTACCGTCACGCAGTGGGTGCGCTGTAGCATAGTTGGTTGAGGCACTGTGCTATGAGTCTGAAGGTTACGGGTTCGATTACAGATGAGGCAGTTGGTTTTTTCAATTGACCTGATCCTTCGAACCGCACTATGCCCCTGGGGTCGACTCAGCCTCTAACAGAAATGAGTACCCGGTGTCTCCTGGGAGTAAAGGGCTGCCGGCGCGTAAGGCTGACAACCTCACCGTCACCTGTGAGCCGATTGTCTAGGAAATGTGGGGGCCTCGACGTCTCAGAACAATATGGACCTCCATAGCCTGTTGCAGGGATAGCTTTACCTGGCCACGTCCAGTCCCCAGCAGGCAGTTTCGCTTTAACTTCCACTTTACCGTACGTGAAGCTGAAGGACTCGACTGTACGAATCCGTGCAGAAGTGATTGGGTTCAAGAGGTTTGTAGCACTTCCTGTCCTTTCACAGCCCCAGTCCTGTGGGTTTGTGCACCTGCATAAAGAGATTTATTGGCCACTTACACGCAACTCGGAACTACAAATAATCGCAGTGCTATCGCTGATTTCCACACTTCACAAATCATTACACGTTAAACGTTTCCAGCCTGTCTTCACCAGCCGTTCCCTGGCAACGGCCTCGTAACAGTGTAGATTTTTCAGCATTTTTCAACATATTCTCAGAGATAAGTTAAGAGAGATGTTCAGAAATCGCATTGTGACCGCTATGGTTGAAGATGTTTATAAGAATGTGCTACAGAGGGCCAGATGGACAGTGTCTAGGCCAAATAATAATAAAAAGTATCAGCTCGGGAACTTGCGTAATTGTCACACTGTGTATACAGACTGAGGTGTCCCGTCTTCCACGGACATAAATGAAATGATCTTACACTGAGCAGGATGGCTTACGGGTAAAGCTCTGTACTTGTGTTCGGATGGTGCTCGGTTCGAATCTCGACCGGAACACTTTATCCTGGCTGAAGTATTTCGTGGTTGTCCTCAGACCCTCCAGAACAATGCCAGGGTTGTTATGCCACGAATGTAAATCCGCCCGATTTCTATCATGCTCTTATTCGGCACGGTACAGTCTAGGGTTGACAGCGTCACAAAATAAACCGGAAGAACAAAGAAACGCACTTACGCATCAGCTGGGGCTCCACCTTGTAAATTGAGGACGCCGTTTGCCAAGAAAGCTTCACCGTACTGGTCTGCAGTAAGGGTCGGTTTGATATGGAGTTTTCCGTCCTTTACAAAACTGTTGGAGCGGTTGTTGTTGTAGATTTGAAATTCCCAGTTCTGCAGAAAAATTATAATTGAAGTTACTCTGTGACTTAGGTAAGCGGATGTCGGAGTGCAGGACAGCAAGGCAGCAGAAGTCAAGACTTCTCCTCTCGTTGCATACGAGGCCCTATTTCAAAACAAAAATATGGTCATGGGTTCCGATGGAGTCTCAAACCAATAAAGACTATGCTGACGAAGGCCAGAAGAAAGTACTGCTCTGTAAGAGAAAGGAGCCTATGTTTTGGTAAAAAGTATCAGAGAACGGAAGTCTTGAAGCCCGAGCTGTGTGCATCTGTCTCCAAAATTACGTGACAGGCCATGAATAACTCAGGTCAGTCGCCGACTTCTTACTGTGGTGTTCCAGGTGCACTTTCTGATAAGTTCTTGTGGGATTTTTGGTGGCCCAAATGGCGCTGGGTTAGGTTTTTATCCTAGTACTTCGGTTTTGCCATGCCAACAGTGCTCCTTAATATGATCAATTAAGGCAGAATGTAATCGGCGGGACACGTAGTACGCATGGGTAGAGATGCAAAATACATATATTCACCAGTCGGAAGACCTGAAGAGAAATAGGTCCCTTGGGAGATCAAACGTAGATGGGAGAATAATATTAAAAGTGGATCTTAGAGACTTAAGGTATGTATGTGGACTGGATTCGACTGGCTCGGGATAGGGACTCTTATGAACAGGCTTATGTACCTTCTGGCCCTTCAAACTGCGGGGAATGCCTTGGTCCGCTGGCCCAGGTCGCATCTACGTTATCAAAATTTGGATCCAGATTCAAAATCAAACTTACGCCTCCGCCTGCCGCTGTCTTTTCGTGATTCCAAGTTGATAAGTCGAAAACATTGAATTCCTCGTTAAAGATGAGGTCTCCACTGCAGATTTTTGCTGGCGCTTTGGTGCCAATGGCTGTTGTGACGGACGGCAAGCATTCTGCATGCGCGGCTGCAAGAGTGCAGACCAGTACCACCAGAGTCCTCATGCTCACAGCAGTTCCTTGCAGCTGGGCGATATGATTTGTTGGGTGAGAATTGCAGACCTGCTATTTATAATCTGGTCTCGCATCCCACCGTTGCTTATCATGCATCGTATTTTTTTACAAATTCACCACCTGTTTCAATATTCATGTGGGCTGTATGGTGACAGACAAAACCCGCACAAACAACCTCATTACACTGAATATTAATGCGCTCTGATTAGGAAAAGTGCAGTGTTACAAGTTATTATGGACCTATATATGTGAGTCGGTAAAGTGGCTGGCTGTGGTCTCGACTACCGTGGTTTGATTCCCAGAAGCGACATTAATTTGATCTGCCTCCCGCACTCAGATTGTCCCTGGGCTTCAAACTGTCGGGTGTCAGATAGTGGGAGTTATGTCTCCCTAGTTAAAGGGCTAGGACTGAGAACCTAACTACTCACTTTCATCTGTTTCCCAAGTTAACGCGTGGAGCTTCACCTACGCCCTCCCCACGTCTTCATGGCATGACACTTTACCACAAACAACTCCACTTTACGATTGTTTTTACTGACCGCTAACTTAGGGCCGCGCCATAGCTCAAGCGGTTAGTCGCTGGCTTCCCACCGCGGCGGTCCGGGTTCGATCCCGGGTCTGGTCAATTGGGATTTGTGGTGGAGAAAGTGGCGCTGGGACATGTTTTCTCCGAGTACTTCGGTTTCTCCTGCCAATCTTCATTCCACCAATTGCTCCACAATCACCCTAACTTATCATCTGGGGCTGGTACAATAGGCCAGAATTGGCCGCAGTACAAGGGACTTAGTCCCACCCCACTAGCAATAAAGAAACCCCTAACTTTAAGACCATCTCACACCTGTTTGTATCGTTTTGTTTTCCGTCTTTACTTGAACAGATTTGAAAGGGATTTTTATTGGTGGGGTTTCGACGGAAAAATTGTTAAAAGAAAGTGCAAAAATCCCCCCTCAAAAACTCTGATGCTTTTAGAAGACATCTGTATTTTGCTTATTAGAAGAACAAGAGGGTCAAGCCTTCCTGCTATGTATAGCAAAAGTTTGAGCCAATTATTTGCTGTCAGACATATTTCCTCAAAAATTCCTAAGCCTTATAAGAGCTATTGTCTAGTTCGTCATGACACAACAGGGATAACATTCCTCTCAACCACAACTTTACTGACTAGAGTTGTTGAGTGATTAGGCCCTCGAATTAAACACTTATATACACTTCATAAATTTCCGTAATAGCTATTGGTTAGGAACTCATTTGTCCATTTTTTAACTTTCCCTTATATTAACACGCAGCTGATGTGAGCGGTCGGAACCTACGAAATAAGCAATTTCCATCTCTAGCTACGATTTCCACATATAACCCCTCCACTGGTCCATTCTTATACAATAAATCACGATCTATCAAGAATAGAAATTTCGACAATATTGGAAAGTGCAGTTCCAGCTGAGTAGGTTTCTCCCACTGCCGCCTGGTGGCCCTGTCCGTCACTAATAACAATGTCAACTGCTACATTATATAAAATTCTTAGGCCCTTTGTTCAAATGGGTTCTCGTAATGTCTAAAAACCACGCGACGGTACATTGCAGAAGAGTACATTTTAATGAAATATGTCTCTATCATATATTTCTACTTCTTCCTATGATCCTTTCAGTTTAGCCTCGGTCTCCCTTAGAATTTCTGTCTTCAGCATTCAGTCGCCATCTTTCTGCATATAGAGATTTTATGTCAGCCTTTACGTCATCTTAACAATCTCGACTTGGGTCTTCCACCTCGACGCTGAATTCCGGTTTAGTTTTGGGTATCGTTTTAGGTATAGGGTGTCTTCTATTGTGATGACGTGCCCCAGCCGTTCCGATCTTCCGACTTTGATTCCAGCCGCAAATAACGTAAATAATTCTACACCATTATAGCTGCAAAGTAAAGGCAAACGTATCAACATTTGCAACGCTGAATAACACAACTACAACGGGGACCCCTTCACATACACAAAAACAAATACAAAACACTTCAACTATACATACACAGTGTGTCCAGGATCCGTTAGGACTTTTTTTTTTATTTTGCCCTGCAATGCCATCCTTTGCCAAGTTGTGGTGTTAAGATTCTTGAAGTTTGAGCTGTGGCTGTCTATAATTTCAAAGCGCAAGCTTCGCTGCATCATGTGTTCTGACCTTGAATGTAACAGTACTGTTCTGACGCTCGTCGGAAAATGGAGGTTGAACAGAGAGCCAACATAAAATTCTGTTTGAAGTTAGGCAAAACAGCCGGAGAAGCGTACGAAATGATGAAAAGTGTGTACGGTAGTGATTGTTTGAGTCGCTCGAACATTTTTAGATGGTATGCTATATTTCGTGACGGCAGGGAGGACATTGAAGACTCTCCACGTGGATCAGATCCGAGAACAAGTCGCACTGAAGAAAATGTGAAAAAGTGACCGAAATCCTTGCATCAGACAGATGTGTTTCTGCAAGACTCATCGAGAAGCTTTTGGGAATACCAAAAAGTACTGTGCATGATATTTTGACCGAGGATTTGGGCAGACGGAAGGCCTGTGCGCGGTTTGTACCGCACGCGCTGTCAGGCGATGAAAAACATGCCAGAGTGGAACACTGCAGAGACATGTTACGGTCGGCCCAAAGTGATACAAAATCGATTGTTACTGGTGACGAGACATGATGTTTTCAATACGAGCCTCTCACAAAGCGGCAGAGTGCAGCGTGGTTGAGCCCAAAGAAGCCGAAACCAAAGAAAATGCGCATGTAAAAGAGTCCAGTAAAGACACTGCTAACCGTCTTCTTCGACTCAAAAGGAATCATTCACAAGGAATTTCTGCCAGAAGGTCAAACAGTGAATTCTCATTATCTTGGAATCCTCAGTCGTTTGTGGGGGATGGCGAGAATTCAGAATGAAATTATTTTGAACAAAAAGAGTGAAATTTTGGAAATTATTTATGTCTTGTATTTTTAATTAACACAGTCCTAACAGAACCTGGACACACTGTGTATATGAGAAACAAAACTATCCGAGGGTGACACTAACTAGTGTAGAACCGTTTACACATGGCGACAGAAAATCGACACGACAGGGCTTTGAAGAAGGACCCCCCTCACATTGCATCGTCCCATGATTTCATTATCCAACAACGACGATCATAATGACGTTAAAATCTATTTTTAGTTGTACCATTCTTAAGACTATTTAGAACCAATACATAATTAGAGTAGGGATGTACTATATACAAATTTGTAAAAGCTTCTAAATTAATTTTTATTTCAAGGACATATATTAAATTCTAATTATGTAATATCTTCTTCTTCTATAGGCTTTAGTCCGCAAGCGAACTATACCGACCGAGCGACCGCCGCTTGTCGACGAAGTCCGTGCCAATTTTAGTGCAGTGAGGGTGTCGCGTGGTCAGCGCAACGAATCACGACGCCCATCAATTTCGGTTTTCTGTTAGGTTTAAACAATCCTAAACTTACATAAAACCCATATATTACTAGAGTTTCCGGTGCATTGATAGGTTACACTTTACAAATGTGTGTTCGGTATTAAAACAAACCGAAATTGTCAAATATGGATCCATATCAAGGTGATTCAATTCAAGAACTTAGATGGATATTCTTGTGACTCCCCTGATGATGACCTAGGGTAGGTCGAAACATGTAGCTGCACATGTTGATACGCTAGTATATATTTTTGTCTTTATTGTGTAGACGGTCCCATTCACGCTAATGCACAACACACAACAGCACGCATGCCACGAAGAGCCAGTCACAATATCCGCTGACCCATGTACCCTTTTGGGTTCCAGATTCCTTCTTATTCTCAGCACTTCCTGTTCACATTTTTGGCCTTGTTTACTTAGCCTTTTTAACGACTTGTATATTAATAGCATTAGGTACATTTTATCTAAGCACCATACCATGAAGACATGTAAAGGCGCGTCCACATTACTCGTGCTCGTGTGACTCGCTATGCTCGCAAGTAATGTGGATGATATGACAAGTCACGAGACAAGCAAATTTAAAATTGTAATTTAAAAACTGTAGCCAGTAAATTAAAATACGACTACAGCCTATACACACTACGAGTAAATATACGGATCCTCACGCGCCGAAGCCTGGCGAGCAACTGAAGTAGTGTGGACGAAGATTTACGAGCAGAAGTAAAAGCCAGACGAGTCTCCCGACGAGCACAAGCCTGGCGAGCACGAGTAATGTGGACGCTCCTTAAGGGAGTGAAGGCAAAGCTCCACTTATCCTTAACCTCCCTTTTAGATGCAGTTGAAGTGTCACCTTTATGATCTGTTTGGGAGTGAGAGCCCCCTGTACCCACTGGATATGCTATCGTAGGTCTAGTGCACGGCTACGGCTGGGATAATGTTTTCGAAAATTATTTCTCCAGGCTTACAGAACGGTGTTGTTCTCCTAAATTTATTATCCTAAAGTGAACGCAACTTTCTTTCCACGAACTCTCAAGTTATTGCGTTTAGGTATGTTTCTTACGAAATTTGTCTTTGCGAATTTCCCCTTCAAAGTACAACAGGTTTTTTGCACTAATTATGACAAGAGAGAATAAGGCATACACTAGTCACGTGTCCGGCGGCCCGTACGGTCTCTATGTACTCGTAGCTTTTGTATATGGAATTAAGATCTAAAAGTTGGTGTACAAAAAGTTGTAAGTAGATCAGCACCCAGCATGTCTCCCAGTTTGCTTACTTGCAGTTTATATAGTGACGCAAACTGTAGCTCTGGTTACGTAGTGCCGAATGATTGAATAATAGTGAATAATGAACTGGAAAGGATGTGAAAGGAGTTACTCATAACCCTACTGAAGATACAGTCGTTCCCCGCAAGTCGACGGTTCGATTTATCGAAACTGTTACAACATGTCCAAGTGTCCAGATTATCATTGTTTCCCGGCCAATGCGCGCGCGTTGGTAATGTTTACAAGCTCTGTCGCGCCGTGGTAGTGCAGTCTTACCAATGTTTACCGTGTTCGTCACTTTTGCAACTTTTTAAAATACAGTTAGTGAAATTATACAT